TGTACGTGGTAATTCATGTATCTTACATGAATGTTTAATTGTTATACATAGAAGAGGCTAATTTAAGATAAATGTTTAATTGTTGTACATAGAAGAGGCTAATTGAAGATAAACGTATAAAAGAGAGAGAGAGAGCGAGAGAGAGTTTTTATGTATTATGAATGTGTAGAGATTCATCTAAATCCTTAATTTTACATTAAGAAAATTTTATGTTTGAAGGAGTGACACACGATGAAGCTTGTTGCAAGATGTTTCCCTCGACAAAATGAAGCCCTAACTTGGATACAATGATCTATCCATTTTTAGGCTGAAACTCGAGTGAACCTTTAATTTTTTCTAATTAATGTTGAGCAGTTTTAAATATTAACTACCTTTTATTAATTTTTTTTTATTTAAACAAATGATCTTAAATGATGCCCAAAGCTTAAGAATGATCAATAGCAACAAACAACCAATCATCTTTTGAACTGTCGGATAAATAAGGTGATCGGTTGTAGCCATTCAACCGCGCCAAGCTAAAAAGACTTTGATGACTTCCCTAGCTATCACGAGTTGTATTCATACTCTTTACGTCCCTAAGACCTAACTTATTTCATAGTTCTTATCTTTAAAAGCTCAATTTATTGTTGAAAGAACACAATTTCTCATTTGGGTTGGGATGCATCATCCACTAACAACTTTTTTTTTTATTCAATTTTAATTAACAATATCTTCTAATCCCACTATACATTCTTTAATGTTCCCCAAAGAAGACAAAGTCTTGTCTAATTTACCTTATTTACATTTATTTTAGGAATTTAGATAATTATTTATAATAAGTTCATATAAAATAAGTGTAGAAAAAAAAATCTTTAATAAGGGTTGATAAGCTATCATATACTACTAAAATAATTTTTAATATGTTCAGATAAGTTCTAATAAATTAAAAAAAGTTTAAATAGGTTCAAATAAGTTTAAATAAACTCAATTAAAATCAAAGCAGTCCAAATAATTGAAAATGAGTCAAACACATTGCACCTTAGAGTATCCACAATGGTTGTGCATAAGGACCTGCTAGGAATTTCTAAATAATTGCTAGCTACATGCTAGCCATTGTGGAGCTACAACCTCTTGCAGCTAAGCCAAACTATATAGCTCTATGCAGTTTCACTCCACCAATGCTATTATATTTATTTGTTTAATATATTTATGTACTATTTGTATATATTTATTTATTTTATGTCATCATGTGGGACATAATAAAATTACAAAAGAAGTAGTTTGCCATTGTAGAGGTTGTATTTTAAATCATGTAACTTGAGAAATAATGATGTAGCTAGCCATTGTGGATTCTCTTATACTATTCTCACCATTTTCATTTATTTTTCAATCTTCATTAAGTATATTCTCATAGTATTCCTCCCCCATAAAACCGTGCCCGGAGGAAATAAGACTTTTTTGGGATATCGATCTCGAGAGTATTAAATCTTATTTACTTGTTCTCTTCACTATACAAATATGAGTATGTTTGAATTAAAAATTAAAGTTTTAATCGGTAAAAAATAATTTTTAGTCATGGAATGTAACATTATCATGTTTTTCTCACTCAACCCCTAACATTCATTATTGTATTTATTATTTTGTAGGGAATTCTATCGGTTTCTACTGGTGGAAAGCCACAATTCTCTTAAGCTTTGTTTTGTTTAATTTGTAGGTTTTCTCTATAATTATTTCTCCTTCCGAGAGGAAATTTTTCACCATCATTGAGAGAAAATTATCAGTTAATCCTATCCGTAAGAGAGAGAGAAACATATTTTCCTTTTCACTTTATAGGATCATAGCTCTAATGGATTATTGAATTATTAGTTCATCGAGGAGGATTCAAAGAGGATCACATCTAATGTGTTATCATTTTTAATTAGAGTTAGATCGTGTTTTATACATCTCAAAATTAGGGTGATGATACCATAATTTTCTCAATGTGGCTCTCTTTTCACCAAAAATAATAATCAAATCACATTCCAAAATTTCTTTATCATATTTAATTAGGTTTCATGTTTAATCACATTCCAAATAAACATGTTGCAACCTAAAACAATAAAACATGTATTTAAAACTAACTTTACATAAACGTTCTTTTGGACTTATTTTCAGTTCAGAAACATACATAACCTAATAAGCTTGAGTATTATTGTTGAGCCCATGAGCAAACTCACATGTGAGTGAAAGTATTGTCCCACATCGAAAGAGTATGAAAGTGTTGGGAAGTGTATCCCACATTGAAGAAACAAGAAAGTTGTGTATACTTTATAAGGCTAAGGGACTATTTTCCTCATTGCCATATGGTTTTGAGGTGAATTAGTCTTACATGCATCCTTATGCACCTAGAATGGCTGCAACACGACCCAAATAACAACGCAGCCCACCCACACAAATTTTACAGAAAAACCGTCATTTTCTAATAACTGCCATTTTTGTAAAATATATATATATTTTTTTAAAAAAACCTTTTAGTCATTTCAAAATTAAATTTTTGAATTTAATTTCTTCTCCGTGTGATTTTCTCTCTCTAACAATCAAACAAAGTTCATTCTCTCTCCTTTGTGTTACTTTGATACCTTATGTTTTACAGAAAACCCGTCACTTCCCAATCACCATATTTAAAAAAAATATATAATTAAAAAACAACGTTTAGCCTATATTAGTGCATGTTCATTATTTGGATACCTTATGTTCATAGAATGATTTGAAATGTTCATATGATAAATATTCTTAAGTATTAATGTTCATATTTTGAATGCTTATTTTCACTTTCTGAAATGCATATGTTCACATTCTGAAATGCATATGTTCATTTTCAGGGAACCAATGCATATGTTCATATTTTAAATGCTTATGTTCACTTTCTTAAATGCATATGTTCATATTTTTTTATGCATATGTTCACTTTTTGAAATGTATATTTTCAGTTTCAAGGAACCAATACATATGTTCATATTTTAATTTGAATGCATATGTTCATTTTCTAATATGCATGTTTTCACAATTTTAATGCATATGTTCATATTTTTAATACTTTGCGTATGTTTCATAATCATTTTATTTTATATTTCTTCAATTTTCTTGTGTTCATAATTAAAGACCTTATGCTCATAATATTTGTATCGTATGTTCATTCCGTGGGAGGAATTTGAAAAGAAATGGAAGGATTCTTCAAATCCTTCTATCTTGAGTCAAGATGAAGAAATTATACAAGATACAATTACAATTGAAGCTAACCTAAAAAAAATCTAATTACAAATCAAAAAAAGAAAACACTAACCTGCATTGACGATCTTTTTGGGGATAACAACTAATTCTATGATTCAATCGAAAAAGTGAATCAAAAGTGAAAAATTTAAAAAACAGAGGAGAGAGAAAATGAAGAACAAAGGAGAAAAAACAAAGGAGAAGAAAATTATGATGAAAATTTTGATCGAAACTATGATGAAAATTTTGATCAAAATTATTTCAGGAAAGAAAAGTGAGGAGTGAATATTTGAAAAAGAAAACAAAAAAATTTAAAAAAGGAAAGCAGAAATGCGGGAAGAACGTTATAGTTGAGTTTAATGAGCTACGTTTGGACTGCAATTTATGCAGTAGAAGCTGATTTTTATGCTGTTTCAGCTAAAATAGCTGCACAAGGATGCATGTAAGAATATGCGTTGAGGTGGAACTTCCTTGCACTTGTATAGTTAACACTTGTGACAGGTGTGATCCAAACCCGTTTATCAATATTGAAAGAAAATGTTTTATTTAATCAAAGGTAAAAGAGAATTGCACTCCATTTTTACTTTGCATATACAGGTAATATAATTTACTCGTAATAAACTAATAATCAAATCCCAATGTAGAGTGTGTGTGTCCAAAAGAAAGTACAATTAAAACTTGTTTAGATTGACAGACACTTTAAAAAATGGCAGGGCTGGGCTTATCTAATACAGTATCCATTATCAGCTGAAATATGTGCCACTTTTGCAATGCAATGAAGCAGGAGCCTCCCAGAGCTAGCAGACCACCGCACCAGCTCAGCTCTCTGAAGTCTGAACAACACACTTTAACTTACACCCCAACACCATTATTTGACTGCCCCCACACGTGTGTATTTACTTCTTCACATGATTTTTCCATTGGAGCCTACTGCTTACCCTTCCTTACTAGACTTGTTTGTAGGCCGCTTTTTTCTTATTTTTATTCCTTAATTTTGTCCCACTTATCTTATTATTATTATTATTATTATTATTATTATTATTATTATTATTATTATTATTATTATTATTATTATTATTATTATTATTATTATTAAATTATTAGTTTATTTGATTTCCTATCTTATTATTTTTCATTATATTGTATGAATTACAAAATTTGAGAAAGAGAAAAACATGAAATTTTGAAGCGCTAGAAACCAACTTAATTACTTTTATTATGTGAACAATGCCATTTGATAATACATGGACATTAAGAATTGGAAAAAAAAAAATTAAAACAATGACTTTTCATTATTTGTGTTTAACAATGTTTCTAACCTAACACCTATTATGAGGAAGTTAAGTGATACAACTTGTTGCTAATATGACTTGATTAGTAGTAATACGACAACTAAATTTGAATCGATATAGTGATCAGACATCAGTTGAAATCATTCAATGAGACGAATTGAAGTAGCTAAATTGAAAATAATCACAAAAAACTCAAAACATTGATGAGCATAAACAAAATTTAGAAATTTCAATCTTATTTACATTAACAATTGACTTCAAAAAAAAACTAAAAGAAGTCAAGCTTTGAAGAAGGATTAATTATATCATCATTAGCAGAATAATAACATACTCACTTTTCATTAAACCCTAATTCGTGTTCAAATTATCAGTTGGTTGAGCTAAGCTTAGGCAATAGCTAGCTAATTAAATTAACAAATTAAATGGCATAAAAATAAGTAAGTATATAAAATAAATAAACTAAAAATTTACTAATTAATATTACAAATGAAGATCTAAACTCACTTGATCACTACTGTTGCGCCGTACTTGATTTTGATGACTAGAATTCATCAAACTCATGTTCATGTTCATATTCATATTCATATTCATATTAACATTATTCGTACCACCTTTTAAAGAAGCAGCTGAATTACTATCAATGCTACTACTAAACCCGGGAGAATGATGAGATCCACCAATCAAAGGGTGGTTCAATGGACGGTCACGATGAATTCCACTCGAGGCGTAACTGCTATGATGAAGATGATGGTTGCTTTGATGGAGGGATGAATGCGAATGGACTGCGGAAGGGATTCGCCACACAGCGAGTGGACTTCCGTTTATTGTGGGCGGATGATGCGGTGGTTGGTGGTAGGCGTATCTAGGGTTATTAGTAGCGGTGTTTGTGTTTGAGAGTGATGTAGGGTAGTAAGAGTTATTAGTGATAGTACCGCGATTTGAGTAATTGTTAGCTAAGCTGTAGAAGTGGTGGTGGTGGTGCGTGGGGTCCACCGTCATCATGGCGGACTGAAGGTGGGCCCGCTTAGCGTGTTGCCGTTCGCGTTTGTGAGCATTTTGGTGGCCTCCTAAGGCTTGGGAAGTAGGGAAGTTTCTACAACAATAGTGGCATTCGAATTTTCTACCACTTTCACTACTAGTATTATTGTTGTTGTTATTGATGGTATCTTTATTATTAGTAGAAGTATTGAGAGAGTTTATGTTATTGTTTGTATCTTTGGAGGTTTCAAGGTTGTTGCTGTCTCCAGAGTCGGAGTTGTCGGTGGCGGTGGTGGAGGAAGAGGAGAAGTCTATGCCGAAGAGGCGGATACCGGAGGCGGAGGATGAGGAGGAAAGCTTGGTGGTGCTGGTGGTGGGAGCGGGCCGAATGAAGGGAAGTTGAGAGAAGGAGTCAACGTTCATGAAATCATGAGTTTGATCAAGGGAACTTGTTGTAGTTGTAGCTGTTGTTGTGGGTGTTGTTGGTGTTGCTACCGCGTTGTCCATTATTATTTAGGGAATGGATTTATAATGAATGTTTTGGTTTTTTTGATTTGTTTGGGTTTAAAGGGTTATTATTATTTGAGAAGAGGAAGGTGAAGGTTGAAGTTGTTGAAATAGAGAAGAAAAAAGAGGGGGGTCGGAAGAGAAGGGATCAAAGGAAGCAAATGTGAAAGAAAGAGGAAGTAGAGGAGACTATGTATGTATGTATGTGGAGTTGGCGTGGTGATGGAAGGGAAAGAGGTTAAATGGTGGGGTCTAAGGAAGCCAAGCTAGTGGTAAGTTGTACAGTACAATTTGCATGCATGGGGCCTCTTGTCTATAAAATGGGGTTATTTTCTTACAATTTATAAGAAAATACTCATATACAATTGAGTTTTAGAAACGGTAAAAAAAAAAAAAAAAAAAAAATTTAAACAGTTTATTTATCTTTTTTTTTTTGAAGAAAAATAGTTTATTTATCTTAGAAGATCATATATATATAATCGGTTCGGTCTCCGGGTTGACAAATTTATTTTTTTCCAGTTTTTGGTCCTATTCGGTAAAAAAACCCTATAAAAATCAGTCTTAGACCGGATCAATTGTTTACTTAAAATTATGCACTAGATCTTTAAAATAATACATTTTTAATTTATTAGCTAATTTATATTAGATTTAAAAAGAAAGTCATTTTAAAAAAAAAAATTCCTTCATTTTTTTTTCAAGTTTTTCATAATATTATTAAATTTTTTTGAAAATTTTCAAAAAAATTCCTAAAATTGGTCCAAATCGGCCTGGTCCAGGTTTTGGATCGATTTTCTACTCCGGTTTAGGTCCAGTCCTTGATTAACCGACCAAGTCTCTAGTTCTTACAATTTAAATTTCGGTCTTTGGTCTAGTCCGGTTTTGGACCAGTGAACAACCCTAGATGCAAGTATTTTTAAGTTCAAATCAAATTTCATACATTGAAAAATATATGATAATAGGAGGAGGAGGAGTCAATCAAGTAAGCTTGGTGGAGTTGGTGGGGAACTAGCCCTGTGACTTTATGGTTACAAATTCGAGCCCCGCCAACTACTTTTGTTTGGGAGTAGGGGGATTCCCTTACTTCCCCTCATCTACTCTCAAGTGTTCGTTGATCTGCAGAGCTAAGCTAGTTAAACCTATGAGATGTGTTGGTTCAGTAGGGTCCTTCATCTTACCTTAAACTATAAGGAGGAGTCCATCTTAATTTTAATAAAGGTGTTTAAATCTCTATTCTTTTTTTTCCGATGTGGGGCACTCATATATGTTATTTATAAAAAAATTAAAGATTTTGCTACAGACTACAACAATGATCAACGCAAATATGTAGGAGGGAATTAAATGTATAATTAAGTGTACTGTATTATACAATATTGATCACTTATAAATGTTTAACACTACTATAAAGATTTTCTATCACTCTTTGAGGTCTTAATTTAGTGTTAAGAGTCGTGAATCAAGTCTCCATTTAGAATGTTATTATTTTCTAATATTAATGTTGCACTCATCATCTTTAATTTTACTTATTAAATCCTAGTACTGGGAAATTTCATTAAAGTTATTAAACTTTATGCTATGAGTTTATTTATTAATTTAATTAGTTGATTAAATTGCATAAGTAATTGCTCCCACCATAATTTAAAGTAACTAGATAATTAAATACCTTTACAAAACTATATAAGCAATCACTAGAAGCAAAAAAGTCATTGGTGTTTATCAATGTAATTATTATTGCATCTCCTTCTCTTTACAACAGTTGACCAGGCAATTAGAAGGGATTACTAATCAAGGCTTGTTGATGGAATCATCATTAGTAGATCAGATATGATGCAAATGGTGTTCTTAAAATTCAAACAAGCCAAGGTACATTATCTAACATTACAACATCAGAGACATTCAAGCTTTTTTATTTTTATTTTTATTTTATTATTATTATTATTATTATTATTATTATTATTAATTATTTTGTTTTATTAGCTTACTAGTGAGAGAAGATGGAAACAACTATAAATGGTCTTATACTCTTACTTAGAGCTTAATTGGTTGAAGGTATGCACATATCAAACATGAAAGCACACAAGGCTTGAATGAGGTAGAAAAATTCAAATTTACCACCTAGATAAACAAATTAAACCATGTTTATCGAGGGGTATTTTCATATATGTACAAGTTTATCTCCGAGATAGATAAACCATGGTTAATGTTAGCATACAGAAAATACAAAAAGTTATCAACCATCTAACGGTCATTAGATAACATTGCAAGCAGAAAATTCTGACAAGATTCCCTACTTTTTACCCGTATGTAATATTTAATTCATTTTTCACAATTTTATATGCTTTAATTTACAAATATGCCACTCAATATACAAGTTTTGTTTAACAGTGAGATTAATGGAGGCATGCTCATTTATATTTACAAAAGATAGCTAAATATGTTGTGTTTATATGATCTAAATAATAACTTTAGAATGGATATCAAATATATGTTTTACACACACACATATATATATATATATATATATATATATATATATATATATATATATATATATGTATATGTATGTATGTATGTATGTATGTATGTATGTATATTTTACTTTTATTTATTTATTAAAGATACAATGTTTTCTAATTATAGGCACGTAGGCGCAACACTACTACAATAAGTGGAATAAGGAGTGCATAATACACAATTGTAAAGTTTTTATTTTATTTTAAATTTTTTTTTTCTTTTTGTTTTTTTTTTTACAAAAGAGCTATCAAATAAAAGTAAAACAACAAAACCCAACAACTGTCAACTAAAGCTAAAACAGAAAATATCACAACTGACGACACTGAGCACAACCAGCCAACCAGTGAGCAGGAGTAACCCACAAATGAGGAACCAATCGAACCTGGCAAACCAAAAGAGATTGAACCGAAGCCCGCAACTCTTGAATGAGCCTCCAAGCAGAAATTTCCATTAGACCATAAGGAGGAAGAAGAGCAAAGAGCTGAGGGCAGCACGTACAATCTGTATGAACTCGGATTTGAAGAAGCCTTTACGGATAGCAAATTCCAAATCCCAAACACAGGCCTGAAGCTAAGACTGCAACGTTGAATTTGCCATAAAAGCCCGACAACCTCCTCCCAATACCTCAGAAGAATGAAGATCTCGAACTATCCAACTTGCTCTAGCCCTATAAGTAGAATAATCCCAAGCCCCATCTACAATCAAACAAGTTGTTGGAGAAATATAAGGTAACCCCGCAGACAAAGCCCATGGACATCCCGCCTAGCATCCAAATGAACCAAACAAGAAGACTTTGAAGACCTCTTCTAGACCTCTTCCAATCTTAAGCCTGCATACTACGAAGAAATCAATCTGACGCCAAACCGATAATCGTCCTAGGCGACCAAACAGCTTTCCTAAACCGCAGTTGATTACGAGAAATCCAAATTGCCTAGAGGAAAGTAAAGAACGAAGTAATTGAAAGGAATGGTGTCCTTCCAACAAGTGTATTCTTCTGATAGAGGGTTCAGAATTATTACAGAGTTAATTCTTCAATAAGATCAAGTGATCGGAATGCCTAGGTGGAGGCCGCTTCCGATCAGTAATATCGAGGTACAATTGATATTATAGCTTAATCTTAACTAAACTCTTCGGGTCGAACCCAATCGAATCACCGATCCTAGACGAAGAATCAATCCGAAAGGATTTAATGAGTCGACATAGTTTTATGAATACAGACGTCGGATATCGAGCCTAGGGCGTCGAGGCCGAGCGTCGCAAAATCACAGCGACAAGTACGAGCGTAGCCGTAGCACCACAATGGTCTAACCATGTGGATGCTAGGCTAGTTTGACCTAGCATGCACCTAGCATGGCTAGGCGCAAGCCTAAGCACACTAGGTGTGCTAGGCGCACCATCGCAGCCTAGGCTCACCATCGCTGACCATCGCAGCCCTAACATCATGCCTAGGCGCTATCGCAGCCCTAGCATGATGCCTAGGCACCATCGCCGAGCACCGCAGCCTAGGCGCACCATCGCAACACAAGCAACATGCTTGCCTGGATGCCTAGGTGCGCATGGCAGGGCCACACACGCACCAAGCACAACCATCACAGTGCTAGGCACTAGCACATTGGCATGTGCGTGTGCGTGCCTCGCACCAAGCACAACCATAGCAGTGTTAGGCACAGGCGTGTGCTAGTGCGAGGATGCCTAGCAACATCGCCCAACACGCACATCCATAGCAGTGTTAGGCACAGGCGTGTGCTAGTGCGAGGATGCATAGCAACATCGCCCAACACGCACAGCCATAGCAGTGTTAGGCACAGGCGTGTGCTAGTGCGAGGATGCCTAGCAACATCGCCCAACACGCATGCTAGGCCCTTGCGTGCGTAGGCTCGCTGGCTGGGCTAGCAAGGTGCGCGAGGCATGTGTGTGTGCGAGAGGTGCAGCAAGGGATGCGAGGGTGGTGCGTGTGAATGGCGAGGCAAGAGGCCAGCATGTGTGGCTCGCTAGCAGCACGCATGCTGGCTATGCGAGCATGTGCGAGAGAGGCGAGGGCCAGCACCAGCGCCAGCACGCACCAGCGCCTAGCACTGGCACGCATTAGCGCCAAGCATCGCCCAGCACCAAGCATGCACTGCCTGGCTGGGATGCGAAGGTTGCTGGGTGGGCTTGTGCTGGCTGGGTGGGCTAGCTGGCACTGCTAGCTGGCAGCAGCCCAGCAACCTATTCTTAAGGCGTTTTTGTGAGGGGTGGGGACCAAGGCTTGGGCAAAGCCTTGGGGAGCAAGGCAATGAACCCCCCCAGCTCTTCATGCATGGTCCTCACCTAACCTTCTCTCTCCCCTTGACACTTGTTGCATTGTGATTGAATTTAATTATTAATTTATTTTGGAAATAAATTAATTATCAAATTATTCATTCTCCCACATTGGTTGGGGAATGAAGTTCAAGGGCGCATTTCCCTATAAATACCAAAGGCATGGTATTGGAAAACACACAACCTTG